TTGCTTTCTTCTGAATATTTCAAAAAATACACCTAAAATGGCTATTTACAGTGAATTGGGCAGATATCCAATTCATTGCTTCATGCAAAAACAGAAAATTAAATATTGAAGTCCAGTAACTCCTACCAATGTATACATGCAGAGCAAACTGGTACATGGAAATAAAATCCGTATTTAATTACTATGAACTACTGTAATAGATTATCAAGATCAAATAGCATCAACAAAATTGATGGAAAACTAAAAAATGCATTGTCAGTATACTGAAAAAATTAAATATATAATGACAATAGAAAAAAGGGTAACAAAAAATTAAACCAATAACCTAACCACTTAAAAAATGTTAGTTTAGTGGATTACTTGACAAATATTAAAAATATTGACTCCAGGAAATAATCAATAAGTTTCGTGTACGTAACCTTACACCACGGTTACTAACCGTGAACAGAACGTCATACAACATGTACTCAGTTGCCAGCAAACGAAAACAAATTGTCTTCTCTGTAACTAATATTAGATTGAAGATGACCAACATTTTGTCTTCCCTGTCTATGTTCAACGCAAAATTCTATTTACGACAGCAAGGAAAATACCCACAAATTTAAATAAAATAAACCACGACGACAAATTCAGATTAATCTTGAGCAATAAATCCCTGTTAATTCCTTTTAGGCCAATATTTACGAGTCTGTTTTGAATCTAGACCGTAACACGGCCTAGACATTGCTGTCACCTAATGACTTTCCAAATTCTTGAATTTCTGCAATTGTTTTCTTTTTCTGATTTTTTTTTTTGTATTTTCATGTCACGTTTCGTTTTTTTTTTTGTGCGCATTGTATCCATTATCAACCATTCCAATTGATGTTAAATAAATTGTATAATCTAGTGCCTTGACAACTTTGAAAGAACTGCATTTTTCTGACGCAAACCAAGCATATTAACCGAACATTTCATTCAGATTTAGGGCGTAAAACGTGTTGAACTGATAGCACGACGACTTTAATATAACTGTGTTAAAGGGCAGTGGTCGTCGCGCTGCGCAACATTTGTGTTGATAAACACTGAATTTCCCACAACCCAATGCGCTCTACTCATGGAAATCACCCTGGGCGCAACTTGCACTAATTACCACCGGTGACTCATTCGATACCTTCCAATCAGCTAAAAATATCTAATTAAAGCTTCGTAGCGTCTCAGTATGTACTCCTTGATCTGCGCAACAGTCAAAGTCGCCATCTTTGCTTATATGAGGGAAGATATCCACTTATCATCTCAAGCATCAAACGTATGATTAACTTCTGGCTGAAAATAAAACATATAGATGAAAACACTCTGATCTCCAAGGCCTATAAACTTGGCACCCATTTGGACAAAGAAAACATCAGTAATTGGACCACAGGCATCAACAAATTACTGAACCTTTTAGAAATTAGTGATGTTTGCGAAAAAAACACAGTATTATCCTATTAGCTACAAAAAAAAACTAAAAAAATATGTTTGAAAAACACTGCACAAAAACAATGCATAATGACAATCCAAGCAATTGCCAGGTTTATCAGCGACTTTTTCACTAAAAGAGAGAACTTCATGAAAAACAATTTACCAGCTGCCTCAAAATAACATCAAAAAATATTTATATAATAATATTTTCACAGTATTACTAGTTATTTCAATTTTTTTTCATTATTATTATTCCTTATGTATTTTATTGTTCCTTATATCCTTATTGTATTCTAATCTACATCCCAGATGAAATACGATATCAATAAAGTTGTTATTTATGAGTCCCGTATATCTTGCGCATGCGTGGCGCGACGACTGTCGCCCTTTATTGCCAACAGGATCTCGTATTTCGAACCTATAGGAATATGCAACTGAGTTAGTCGTATGCAAATCTGCTTTTGGCAGTGATGATAAGTATTCTATTCTCCCTTCCAGGGTTATTGCGGTTAGAACACCGAAAGTATCCCTGCCAGTAATCTCCATGCGTTTTACGCACAATTTGTATAGTTCGACCATGTATGAGCACGAGTAGCGATTCCAATAACGTAAATGAGTATAATTTTGCGACGAAAATAATGCCGCGATAGTTTTGCTGCATTCAATAAATAAACATTTACCTGTTTAATCATTATTTAATTATCTGTTTCATCATTATTTAAAATTCTAAACAAAATATACGCACATGTCTGTAAAACCTCGGTTAGAAAGAAATTTATGTAACTGACGTGAATGAGATGTCGCAAAAGGGACAGTTATATAATACAAGATGGCTGCCCACTGACTGGAAAAACGTGGTTTCCGAAGTATCTAAAGTAGGTAGATAAAGTGGCAAGTATTGAGTCATTGAGTTCGCTGCATGTTGTCTCGGGGAATTAACTATTACTTAATTGACGAGTGTAATCTTACCATAGTCGTCAAATCAACTGACAGTACCCACTGCGAAAGACCAAAAACCAGCTGTGTGTGTGGCAACATTCGCAACAATCAACACTTTTACTGCACTGTACTTTTCACGAAATGAGGATTTTCTCCAAATCGGAGACATTCATTATAATGGCTTCTTTGACAATTTCCCGTATAAATTTCCGAATTATGCAGAAATTAACTTGAAATTTAGATCAGTCTTTCCTGCCTTGCGATTAATTTGTTGGGTTTGCACAGCCACAGGAAAGTGGAGGCTGAGAGCAGTGTTCTCCCAAAGATACAAACAACATGGCAGTACCGCCACAGTGCTTTGTTTTAGCAAGACACTAGTCTGCCTCATACCACAGTCATTATTATGACTGCACAGTGCTGTGAAAACTGAAATCTTGTGTGTAGTTGTAACATTTGTAGCAATACATTTATGTAAGTCAATTATTCTGTCCATTGTGTTATTGAGTAGGCTAATCTTCACAATATCTGTTTGGAATAATTATGCGAATAATATGCATAAGTTATGCAAAATAGTGATTCAATTTTTGGGGGAGTAAACTTCTAGGAGTATGATAAAATATTACTAATTTCAAATTTAGAATAATTAAAATCAAGTAATCAACTAATTTTATTATAATAGTTAGATCACAGTAAATTTCATAAAGGCATAACAAATATATAAAATATCTATAGATGTTTTATAAATTTCAACAACTTGCTAAATTATGACATGTTACGTTACTGTCATCACCATATTGTTTAAAACAACAAATAGCAACATTGCCAGCTAAGCTAATGAAATATAAAAAATCTTTCTTTTTCAGAAAACATTGTAAATTGGAAAATGTCATTTCGTGGACGAGGTAGAGGAGGTGGCGGTGGGTTTAGAGGTCGGGGAGGTGGTGGTGGTTTTCGAGGAGGAGGAAGAGGTGGATATGGAGGAGGTCGTGGATACGATGCCGGTCCTCCAGATGTTGTCACAGGTAGGTTTAAACATTTTTGTACCAGAAATTGTGTAATAAAAATAATATTTTTTTAAAAATTGGTACGCAAAAATACTCTAGTTCAGTTTCCATCATGGAGAAACAGATAACAAATTACAAGCTTCAATTTGAAATAAGCGGAATAGGTGATCTAGTATTGAATGGAAAATTTTCCGACTATCAGTGATTTTCTTTCTGTAGGTTTTCCGACTGAAAATAATGTGTCTGTGTATGAAGCTGAATGTTAAACTTTTTGTAATCAAAAGTTTTTTTTTTTTTTTTCAGAGGCTGGTTCGCTACTCCATCCTAGCCAAGATGAGTTAGTTTGTAGATGTACACTAAAAAATCAAGTGCCTTATTTCAATGCACCTATATTCCTCCAGAATAAACAACAGATTGGTAAAATTGACGAGATATTCGGACCAATTAAAGATTTTGTATCCTTTTAGTATTCTTCATATCACTCATCTGACTCATCACATGACTTTGGTAAATTCAATGTTCAAATGCAAGGGCACTGTGCCAGGAAGAAATGAGTAACCAAAAGCATTAATTTATTTTAACTTTATTTTTCTATTCCAACCTTGAAAACTCTAGATTCCCAAATATTCACAGAAAGTTTTGTTTTTATATTGTAATAGCTGTGATTTCAAACATTTTTTTTGTTTAAATATAACACCTAAGGTACCCAAATCTTACCGAAATATTGTTTTAGACACAATTGCTTGGGCTACTAGTAAGTGACCCTACACAAAGCTAATGTCACATAAAATGCGATGTGAAAACTAAAGTTTGAATAGTTGCCATTTCATTGAACATTTTTATCCTTAAATAATCTGCACAGTATTTTTCAGTCAAATTATCAGACAATATGAAGGCAGGTTCATTTCAAAAAGAACAAATGGTAAGTTATTGTGTGTTCTTTAATCTTTTTCTTGGTAATGTAATATCAATGATATAAATACTGTAAAATATTTTAATTTTAATTGCCAGTAATTTTCCCTGAAAAAACATTTTAGGTCTTTTGAATGAACTTTATTTTTACTGTTCTCTGATGAATTTACAAAATTAGAAAAAAGGTATATTCACTGAATGATTCCTTCAACTAAAATAAATTTCAAGTATTTTACAGTAATTGTTTTTCTTGTTAATGGTTTGCACACCATTTCATTTCATAGTTTGCTTCAAATAACACCGAAATGAGCAATAGACAAAATTTTAATTCTTTGCTTTTTCAGTTTTTCATAGATCCCAATAAATTACTGCCATTACAAAGATTTTTACCTCGACCACCTGGATCTGTTCAAAAACGAGGTGGACGAGGAGGGGGAAGAGGTCGCGGTGGTAAGTTTATATTTTCTGAATTTAGTTAATATATTCTACAAAGTATAAAATAAGAAGATAAGTTGAAATAATGTCTGTGTGTCTGCTTTAAAGGGTGTTATATCAATCTGTGAACATTGATTAACAGGTTAACCATGGTGGGTGGGATAAAACATCTGCACAGGGAATTTTTTTTGCAAAAATATTCTCCAGGCAAAATTACTGAAACATAATCAGTGTTCTCCTCAAGGGGTTTTAGGATAGCTATCGATAAAGAGCTATTGCTCGAAACGTCTAGCTATTTTTAATAGTTATTTAGGACTACAATTACCAAATATTATCTTCAATATATCAAACATGGCTGCCGGATTAGTTTACCGCGAGTATTTGTAATAGGGGATTTTCCGTACAATTGCGAGATCTCGCGAGATGTATAAAAAACGCGCGTCGAACGTCTGCCGCAAAAATCGAACAATTTGATTTTGAACTAGAATTTCTTTATTTCGTAACTCACATCGACCGGCCGATCTTCGACAGAGGAATACTGCTTCCGAATACCCTTACTTAATCAAAATTGCCTATCATCAAATGTGGACAGCACATTATTAAGCATGGAAATGTTACCCAAAATACTTCGCGTTTGTCGAATCCCACGCGATGTTTGACGCCACTATGACGCTATGACCTTTGTTTGTCCTGTTTTTACATTCGATTTCACGCATAACGCGTGATTCTCGCAGTGAACGGAAAATGGTCTATTGAATAATATTTTAGTTATCTTTTCCACATACTTTTTTCAATTTATCCATTTTTTATGTCTAATCTTTCGAGAACATAGCAGATTCTTTTATTTTGCCGATTGCTAGCATTTTTTCTTGAATTCCAAAAACAACGTGTGAAAACGCAACGTATCGTGACCGTACATGCGTAAATGCCGCCTGTCGGCACGGGTGAGTACTGATGCCACAAATAAAAAATGTTATGAGTTTTATTTTGACAAATCGTTCGTTTGGGCGTTGGGGACAAATCACCTTGTATATTTTCTACATTAATGTTTTGTACTTGCTCTTGGTTACTCGAATTGCATTTCATGAACGCAGAATAATTTGCGAACGTATAAATCACCGATTTCAAACTTTTTGCATTTCGTAAATATTAATACCAGTAGTGACCAATCTGTTTGTATTTTAAAAAATTGTAACATGTTTCAATTAAATTAAAAAGAGAATAGTAAATAACTTAGTGTGTATTGCAGTTCATGACATAAATGCTAGAATGCTGTATGTAAATGATATGCAAATTTATGCTAATTAGGCCGCCCACCAGCTATTTTAGATTGTGGAGAACACTG